GGTAAATGTCCTTCTGTTTTCCTGACTGGTTGGAGGATGTGAAATCCAAGCCCTTTCATTCATTCCTTAGCACATCAGTTGCCTTGTTTTTACCGTAACAACCAAGGGTGGGTTTTGTTTTTTTTAAACCATATCCAGGATTACATTCAACCTCATCTAATAGCTATCTAGATGGATGGGGAAAAACCAAAAGGGTTAAAAAAAAAGTGTCTCTCAGTCCGGCCTCATCAACACCAGGTAGCACTGTGTGCAGTTAGAAGCCTTCCAGGTGCATTGCTTTTCATTCTAGGATCATATAAATGATCCAAATGCTGCTGCAGAGACAAATAAAATAGCAGCCAGGCAGGCTAGTAGGTAGGCCAAATACTTATGTGCAGCATATGTAAAAGTAGGGCCAGTCCTTGAAGTGTTTTCAAACCCAAGAGTTGAGGGAGAAAGGAGACCATGATAGGTAATTGGAATTTGATAGCAGAATGAACAGGGGGTCATCCCAGCCCAACCAAGAACCAAATTGTTCCTAGCCTTTAACCATCCTTCTTGGCATGCAGTGGGAGAGGAGAAGGCGAATCATCTGTACTAAATAGTACATATCTTGCAGGTGACCCAGATGCTGGCATCCCCCTCCCTGCTAAGGTTACCCTCTAGTGCACTTTGTCTCAAGAGTCCTGCTGAGACTTCCACTACAGCTACTTCATCCACCAGGAATTCCTAGAACTCAGTCTCTCAGAATGCTGTGATCTGGCAGGGGGGACAGGCAGGACTTCCCTCTAGTGTCTATCACCATGCCATCACTGTGAAGAGTTGTGTCATGACTGAAGATCTAGGGAGATGACAACTTACAACTGAATATCACACTCTTGGGTACCCCATACCTGGGAGTTTCTTACAAGACTCCTTCTAAAAGTGTACCTTGTGTTGAGGCCATATTTACTGAACATCCACATGTGAGGCTGGGAGGGAAAAAATCCACAAGGGCAGCTTAGCCCTGTGGTACATGTCTAGAAAAGTGCTTGGGATATAGGTGTTCAATGTTTGTTGACTGCAAGAATGGGTAAGAAAAGTACATCTGCAGAGAACCTAGAGAAAATTTTCAAAAAAGGCAAGTCTTCAACTTTTATTATTTGCAGTGCTGGGGATTAAACTCAAGAGCCTCAGACTTGCTGGGCAAGTGCTCTACCACTTGAGCCACACTCCCAGTATGTCCAGTTTAGGTGACATCTTTAACTGTTGGTGCTGGACAAGCTTGTTTGGGTCACAGAATGTAATGGACAGAAATATGGCTGTCTTAAATTCAAATTTTAAGTCCTTAAAATTGTACAGAGCCTACTGTGCCATTAATTCCTCTTTTCTGCTCCTCCCGAATAGCAGACTATCATCAATTCATGGTTTTATGCTTTCTCACTGAAGAAAAAAAAAGTAACATTGCCTTGGTGGCAACTGAAGTCAAGAGGCAGCTTGGGAAAAACAGTGACTTCGATTTTAGATAAAACTCTGAAGTAATAATAAAAAATATCCAGGAGGGGTCCTAAAGGTAAAGGACTATGTAAAGAACACAACACTAGAGGCAGAAATCTGGAAACTATTGTAAATACAGCATTTTGAAAGTAAGCAAGTATTCAGAATCAGTAAAATAAGACAAAACCAAGAGATACAAGTATGGTGGTACACCTCTTTAATCCCAGGAGATGGGAGGATTGTGAGTTTGAGGCCAGCCTGAGCTACCTCAAAACAAAACAAAAACAGATGATTGAGACCCTTGAGGAAGAGTCAGTGTTAGGGGTTCAAAAGACAGATGCCTGTAGAAGTCATCAAAGGCAAAAGTCAGAGAATGAAGGATTGAGGTAATCTATGTGTCATCCAAGTAAAGTAGAGGATTATTTCAAAGAGGGTCAACAATGCAGCAGAAAGGCCAAAACATAATGCAAAGGAGAGGAAAAAAAGGGGTTTGGGATGTGGCTAAGAGGGAGCCTTTGGTGATCTGGACAGATTCAGTCTGGCAGCAATGAGGTACGCATGCCATGGTTTATTTTTTTTCATTTCTTTGGTGGTACTGGAGTTTGAACTCAGGGCCTCACACATGTTAGGCAGGCGCTCTACCATTTCAGTCCTATGCCAGGGTTTTTAAGAGGTTATGCATATAAATGTGAAAAGTAAAATTTCTAGCCAGTAATAGAGACAGACTATCATGCAGCCCAGGCTATCCTGGAACTTGTTATGAACCCCAAGCTGTTTCTCACGATCCTCCTGCCTCAGGATTTTAGGCATGTACCACCACACCAAGCTACAGTAGATCATCTTCATACCCTTGGGTAAAAGGAAATTTTTATAAAATCCATCATTTAAAGAATACTAACCATAAAAAAAGATTGAGTTTGCTGGGAGCCAGTGGCTCACACCTGTAATCCTAGCTACTCAGGAGGCAGAGATCAGGAGGATCACAGTTCGAAGCCAGCCCAGGCAAATAGTTCGTGAGACCCTATCTCAAAAAAACCCATCACAAAAAAGGGCTGGTGGAGTGGATCAAGGTGTAGGCCTGAGTTCAAACCCCAGTACCATAAAAAAAAAAGAAAGAAATTTCTTCACAGATACTATTTATAGTGAAGTGGCAAGCCAAACTAAAAGTATTTGTACCACAATTGATGCAGGGATTGTATTAGACCCAAAACATGACTTCTCCTACAAATCAGTAACAAACTGACCCAACAGAAAACCAAGCAAGAAACTTGAAGCATTCATAGAAGATACCCCAGCAGCCAATAAACATGAAAAGTGTTTCATTTAGTCAGAGTAGGCAATTAAAAATCAAAATAAGATATATTAGCCCAAATTAAAATTTCAAAAAGGACTGAGAATATCGGTGAGGCTATGAAACAATGGGACTTAACATACTTATGTGGAAGAGCAAATTTGTACATTGGTCAGACAACTGCAAATTACCTGCTAAAACACATCAACTCCAACTAGAACGCCCACAAAAGTCAACCCACCCCAAATGCCCATCAGTCACCGAATGGGTAAGTAAATTATGGTAGTCAAGCACTTGCATACTATACAGAATAAAACCAAATGAGCTATGGTGACATGCAAACATCATCAAAGAATCTCCCAAGCATAGATATGCTGGGGGAAAAAAAAGCCATACTCAGAATACAATTCCATTGACAGCAAACTCAAAGAGGTGAAAGTAGTATTAAAGTTGAAAGAGTAAAGCCAGGGGCAGAGGCTCATGATTATAATCCTAGCTATTCAGGAGGCAGAGATTAAGATTGCAGTTCTAGGCTAGCGAGGGAAAAGTTCATGTGACCCCACCTCAGACCCCATATCCTGCAGTATAAGCTTATCATCCCAGCTATTCCAGGAAGCACAAATAGCGCTGTGGCCCAGGTTGCCTTGTTATAAAGTGAGACCCTATCTCAAAAATAACTAAAGCAAAAAAGGGGTGGTGGTACGGCTCAAGGAATAGAGCACCTAACAAGTACAAGGCCTGAGTTTAACCCCCAATATTGCCACAAGAAAAAATTGTGAGCAGAGAAAGAGGTTAAAAACTAGAAGGAGCTCCAAGGTATCCTGTGAACTGTGGCAATATTCTAATTCTTGATCGAGGTAGTAGTTACACAGGTGTCTATTTTTTGGTAACTTGAGTTAGACATTTACATGTATATTTTGCACTCGTTTTGTATTTCTGTAATACTTTGATAGTTAACTCCCCAAATCCATGTTATATTGTGGATATTCACCTAAAGATCAAGTCTCATTCTCATTTTCAAATATATAAAATGCAATCTTCTCACTGCATGGTAGAATTAGGTTTTTCTGCTTAGTATAGGTAACTCAATAGGAAGCAGATACTCTTACTTAATACTTGCTTTCTTAATATACTTACTTGAAATTCTGGATATTTGTACATGAAACTGATTCTCAGAAAGAAGTCAAGAAAAACAAGGTATATTCCAAACTTGAAGATAAGCTATAATTCCAAAATTTTACAAAATAAACACGTTTTCTTTTGATGAAGATTATCATTGTGATGTCATTTTTTTAGGAATTTAGAGCCATAATTTTTCATGTTTTTTGGTGACTTGTATTTACTCTGATAATAGCAGATGGGAAATTAGATTCATATGAAAACCTGTTTTATTACAGTAAATGACAGGTTATCACCTGAGTTTTATTCTGTAAAGCAGAATGCCAAAACATCACCTAGAATAAAAAGTGCCACTTACCCGAACTTACCAATGGAGTTTGAAAGAGGCACAGAACATTGAGGCTCTGTCATGTTGGCTCCAGAAATGTCTCCAAGTGGATTTAAAAAACCATCACCAGAATTTAAAAATCACTAAGCACTAAGGATGCTTTAACTTTGTAGTTGACAGCTTAGATAGCAGGCATTATTTTTTATTTAAATTGTCATAAAAAAACCTCTTAAACTGGTGTTTTAGCACCAAGTTTTAAAAAGAGTGTGTATGGCTCCTGGCATATACCAGGAGCAATAGGAAAATTCTGATGTGCATGGTTACTTTTTGAAAAGCACTCCACCTGGCAAGGGATATGGCTCTGTGCTAAGAATGCTTGCCTAGCATGTGCAAGGCCCTGGGAATGATCCCGAGTACCTCAAAACAACAACATAACTCTCCTTCAAGCTCTAGAATAATGTCCAGTGGGCTGGAGGAGTGGCTCGAGTGGTAGAGCGTATGCCTAGCAAGTGTTAGCCCTGAGTTCTAACCCCAGTACTGCCAAAAAGTAATATTAACTGTATTGTGGCACTGTAACAATTTTACAGTACCAATTAGATGATGCAATTAAAGAAATGTTAAGGAATGTCATTTTGAACAATCTCTTTCCCACAGAAATGTAATATTTTCAAAAATATAAAAAACTCTCCCCCTAACTTCATTTCAATTCTTAGTCTTCTAAGGCACACAGAAGTTATTATTCTATTTTTTAAAAAAATGAACAAGTCATGGGACCAAAATTCAGTTTTCTTTTTATTTCTTTCTTCACTAGGCCAAGCTAGTTCTTTATGCCTAAAACACATTACAATGGACTAGAAAAGTTTAAACAGATGGTTTTCAAGTTTCTTACTAATCTTTATCCATGGAAATAAATTAGCCATTAGCATCAAGCACATTTTAAAAGATGATACACAATCACTTAAAGGTTAAGACTTTGGCATTTAGGATATTAAACTTTTGATGAGTTATTAAACTCACATATTCAACTTTGTGCTGGTCTTAATACTTTTCACAGTTGTAGTACCTGAATGTGAAGATGAGAAGCACACAGTCACACCTATCATGTCACCTTTGTAAAGCTGTCTAGATGTCCATTTTGGACACTTCGGGCAACGGCTTGTCAGAACGACTACATGACACTCACTACATTCAGAAGCAAACCAGAAAACTTTATTTAAAATAGTAACTAAGAAAGAGTTTTTCATGTAGATTGAAAAGGAGGCAGGCGAAGTATGAGATAATAGCTACCCCTTAAGAAATAATTTTAACAGCTTAAAATCTTTCACAGAAACTTACTAAAAAAGGAGGCAACAACAGTTTAACATTTGACAGAAATTAAATAATTCTTAGTAAGAATCTGGTCAAATAACTAAACTTCAGATCAGTATACTTTCTAATTATAGATATAAATCTTCGAAGTATGTATATTATATACAAATCAACCACATAGAAGTGTTATATTCTTCATTTTTTATGTTCTTGAAAATGAAGAGCACTGTACTTATGATTTGCATTAAAAAATGCTCCTTAAGCCTAATAATTTCAAAGGACCATGACTTCTATCAGAGAATACCATGTTTCTGATTCCTATCCATCTACTTATATTCATCATATATAAGCTACCATGACAACAAAACTATAAATTCTGTTTAAAAGACTGTTTCTTTTCTGAAGTTTTACTTCAAGTTGAATCTCTGTTATTAGTAATACTTAAGACAAACTTCTCCTTTCAAAGCAGTCAAAACTAAGGGCATTAAATCAGTATCTAAAACCAAAGTACAGTTTTATCTATGAAACTATATGTTGTATCCTGACTCCTGGCAACACAGACCATATAAAATGTACTCAGAGACTAACACAATTATGAGCATACCAGTTTTATGTATGTATTTTTTTTGCCTCAACAAAAATTCTTTTTAGAATTTTAACTGACTAACTTACAATTAGGCAAGTGTCCAAAAGTTGAGATTTTAAATTCAGCATTATCTTATTTCTCCTTAAAGATACATTGCTACACAAACACTAAAAGTACAATAAATTAAAAACAAGATAAAACAAAATAAAACCTTGGTTTAGTATGGCTAAAGTTCATAAGTAAAGCAGGTATAAAAACTTGTTCACCAGAACAAATCATAAAGTACACAGACGAATATCATAGCCCAAAGAGAGAAGCAGGAAAACCTCAGAGCCAGGGTGTGTTCTCATGATTTTTTAAACTCCACTGTTCCCATGCTTTACTGCCCCATCCTAAACGAAATCTATGAATACACAAAGATCAAGAAATTGTAAATTGATGCTTAGTAAAATGTAGTATGCCTTCCTGCTAAAGGTGCTAAGGAAAGCAGTATACATATACTATAGAGCTTGAGCATGGAAAAATAAAAAACAAATCTTACTGTGGCTAGAGAAAATTTAAAAAAATGAAGATTTGTCACTGACTATGAAAACTTTTCTATACATTCTAAGGATACACTGGCAAGACCAGTAATGAATAGCTGTGATAACTATGATACGTTTCATTGGTGGTAACATTTTGTTCTATGAAGTAAGACTAAAAATTGACAGAAAAAAATTCTAATTTCAAAAGTCAACTGTAGTAAACTAGGAATCCCATCAAGATTACTAGACCTTTAAATGTGAGACTGGTAAAAACTATGTATCGAGGATTCAATCAAATGAAACTAAAACAAGAAAATCTGCTAACATTTAAAGCAGTAGCTTCAACCAATATGCAATTTATTTTTCCTATTGTTCATACCTTGCTGGTCTTTATCAGATCCTATGGACAACAGCAGTTATTTCTGCAGCATTCTTTTCTTGTTCTAAACCTTCTCTCAATACCAATAAACACCACATCTCAGCACAACAATGCTAACAGTATTACTTAAAATACTGTTCTCATACACCTCAGATCTGCTTCTTGGCTCTTTGAATTTGTGGTACTATTTACTGATTCAACATGTACTTGTTTCTGCTTCTATGCAACTGATTCTTATCTGTGAACAAACTTGCTGCAGGCGGGACACCGCAACTCTAAAGCTCACCTTCTTCTTTCCTTTCCTCAGAAACATTAATATACTTTACTTGAATGTATAAAAACACAAAAGAACCTCTAAGTTGACTTTGAAATGGTTTGGAATGGCTGATCAAAATTTTGAAACCTAACTCTTACACAGACCTACTAGACTCCTCTGGTAAATTATAAGGACTGCCCTATACAAGATGCTCTCATCAAATCTAAATCAGAAAACAAATTTCAAGATCTGTTTCACAGTAAGAAGTGTAGCACTCATACAATCAAATTACTCACACCACTCACTTTTTGTTTGAAAGCAAATAGAGAACAAAGTCAAATTTAGGAGGTGAGCTTACAGCTTAAAGCTTACAAGAAATGAAAATAAGGAGAAGCAGACAGCATTTTGGGCTCAGCATGCAATGGTACTATTACTACTGTGGCAGCATGACAAATGAGTCAATTTCTATGAGAAAATATACATGCATACAACTATTTCTCTATTAAATACATGTATCTCACAAAAATACATCATCATAGGAAACACTGATTTTGTATTAAATTGTCTTTTGACAACAATTTTGCACTGAGTAATAAATTATAGCTGTTGTATAAATGGCTAAAAAAGTATTACAGATGTTTACACAGAGAATTACAGCAACATACAAGAGCACATCAGTAAAACTTGGATGAACAATGCACAGAGTAAAAACAGGTTTATAACCAAGCAGTGCGGACATTAGGGGGTTTAGGTCTTGGCAGCAAGCCACTGGATGTGTCAAAAACTGATCGCTCAGTTTTACAACTGAGACCGCTGGTAGCACTGGATGTCCTAGAAGCTCCTCCTGAAAAATACACAAAGAAGAAATCATTTCAATCCTAATTTGAAGTCCAGACTAATTTTTCTTTCTAATTATCCCACCTGTGTCTAATACTCTAATACAATGACTCTCACCAGGAATGCACTTTACAATTTCCATGGAACTTAAAAGCTGGTTAAAAAAAACACAAAACTTTGCATAACCATTTTATATTTATCTGACAAATAATTCATTATATTCAAGGCACAATACTAAATATGGGTTATTGGAACAAGAGCCTATCTTAGTCACTACAGTAAGGAAGCAATGTTTGTGAAATGAATAAATACAATTGCCAGTTATTGAAATGTTTAATATTGACTGTGTACTGAGAAGCTGTGGCACCCTAAATGATTCCAACTTTCTTCTATTTTTTTATATGGTTTAGAATGCACACATGAAGTAATAGCATCAACTTTTGTGACGAACATGCTTGGCCTTTCTAGATACTATGTACCCTGGTATTAGACAGTCATTGCAATCCTATATTCTATGGGGTACACAACTGGCTAGGTACAGAACTGATCACATATCAAACATTAAAAAGCGTTAGGTCTGTTGACACTTCAGTTTGCTAATTTTTGTTTGTTATCCAATGAGGCAGAAAGAGCACATACAGGGGCTAGAAGACATTAGCAATAATTTATAATTGGCAGAATGTTTCAGCAACTTTCCAACATCAGAGCTACTCATTTTCTTCCTTTAATAAACATACTGAAGTTAAATCTCTCCTCCATTACCTAAGAAAATACTGATATTTTCAGTTGTTTTAACTTTTGTTTTCCTTCCTATGCTGCTGTTTCAAACTGTATATGAAACCTGACATTAAGTGAACTACTACAAGTAAAACAAGTCAGTGAAAAACAGTAAAATGCACTCCAGAAGTTAACGGTTTAAAACTCTATCATAAGAATGTAAGTTTCATTAAAAAAACACAAACAAATACAAAATAGTTTTGCATATTCTTACTTAGCGGGCTGTACTGGCTAAGAGTAGACTTCACTCGTCTTGAGGAAGGCACTGGGTTGAGATAGCCCATGTTGCGATGGTAATCTGTCAGCTGTTCTGAGCGCTTCATACCAACTGTTGGTTTCACAGCTTCAAGCCTCTTCAATAAAGCCTTCATTAAAAAGTTTAAAAGTCAATGGTACACAAATAATAAGTTTTAAAAAATGCAAATACTTTCTAAAACCTGAAATTCATTAAAGTGGAAAAGACTTTAAGTCACTCTTAGCATATTATGTGCATGAAATTATTTCAAACAACTTAGTATGGCTTGGATATAAAGTGTCTCTCCAAAACACTTAAGTGTTGATGGCTTGGTCTCCAGCTGGTGGTACTTTTGGAAAGTGAGTGCTTCATAAGGGCTTGATCTCATGGGTGAACTAATCCACAGATGGATTCATAATTGAATGGATTATTGGGAGGTGGGAGGAACTATAGAGGTGGAGTTTAGTTGGAGGAACTAGGTCACTGCAGACATGCTTTTGAAGGGTCTTTTTGTTCTGGCAGTACTGGGATTTGAACTCAGGGCTTCACACTTCAATGCAGGGGCTGTACCACTTGAGCCATGCCTCCATCCATTTTTGCTTTGGTTGTTTTACAGATGGGATTTTGCTTTTCTCTCAGGCCAGCCTGGCCCACCATCTTCCTATTTTAAGCTTACTGCCATTGCTGGGTGCATGTTACTGCACCTAGCTTTTTCCCTTGAGATGGGTAGGGAAAATTTTTTTGCCCAGGCTGGCCTAGAACAACAATGATCCCAATTTTAGCCTCCGTAATAGTTAGGATGACAGGTGTCACCACTGTGCCCAGTGATGAGGTCTCAGGAACTCTCTGCCAGGGAACTTGTAGCCCCCTGATGTCAGCCTCCCAAATAGCTAGTGTGTAAGTGTGAGCCACTAATCCAGCTGACTGGCTTGTCTTTTCCCTGACCCCTTTCTCTGCTTCCTGGCAATCCTGTGGGCAGCTTTCTCAGACATGCCCTTCTGCCATGATGTTTCTGCCTTGCCAGAGGCAATGGAGCCAGCTGACCATGGACTGAAAACTTGAGCCAAAATAAATCTTTCCTCCCTTACATTGTTTCAGCTATTTTGTCACAGCAATGAAAAGCTAATGAAACACAACTCAATTACGGGCATTATCTCTCATGTTAGGTTAGTCTTAGGAAAGGTGCTGTAAGTTGAAATACAGTTAACTTGATCTTCTCATAGAAATAGCATAATAGGAGTTGTAATACTAGCAGTCCACAAACATCTAAGCTACTCCAAGTTCTACCTGTATACACTACAGACAGTAATTTTTAACCTGCTTCCTTTGCAGTGGTGTCCCAGACTCCTAGGACACTGAGGAAAGGCTAAGTGAGCTAGGTTTTTCATACTTTCTGCTTTATATACTGAAGATTCTCAATAAAATGACTTTGGAAAAAAGGGATTTTTTTGCTGTTAAGAAGTTAGAAAACCAATTATTAAGCAATATAAACCTCTTGAAAGGATATATAAACCAACAGGCCAAGGCAACTTAGCATCGGATAACACTTGATATTTTCCTTTACAAGATTGGGAAGAGTCTAATGTATAATGTTCCTAATTTTATTTTTAATTCTTTCTTAAATCAAAAAGTGAGAGTTTCCTTTGTTGGATTTTCACGGGCATCTTTGAGAAACAAATAGTTAAGCAGATTAAATGGCTTCAGGGACTGATCCACAGCTCCATTTTATTACTTTCTCTATTGACTTAAAATGTTCTCTGAGACAAGCTCATCTTTACAACCAAAAATCATCCTCATAAATTCAGTCATATGACAAGTTTTCTCTAACCTTTTGTCTTTCTTCCTTTTTTGTGCTACAGTACACATAACATTTACCAATTTGAACATTTTAAGTATGCAGTTCAGTGGCATTTAGTTGATTCACACTGCTGTGAACCATCTGCACCATGACCCAAACTTGATCTCAACTTAGTGTTTTGCTCTTATCAATTTCTTGCCTTTCATTCTACTACCAGCATTGTGGATATTTCTAAGCAATTCCAAAGAAGGGATAGATGGTGGTAAAATAAGATAAAATATTGAGGGGAAGAAGAGAGAGAAGAGGCTGGGTGGAGTGGCTCAAGCCGGTAATCTTAGCTACTCAGGAGGTGGACAACAGGAGGATATCCTCAGCAAAACATCTGAGAGCCCCCCATCTCAACCAATGGGTTGGGCTGATGGCACATGCTGTTACCCCAGCTATGCAGGGAAGCACAAGTAGGAAGACTGTGGTCTCGGCCAACTCAGTCATAAAGCAAGACCTTATCTCAAAAATTACCAACAAAAAAAGGGCTGGTGGAGCAAAAACTAACCAAAACAAACAAAAAACTAGGAGAGCTTCACTGCCTATCAGTCTTCTGCACACAATGCCTTTCTTTTAGCATTCAAAAGTAACTCGTTAGTGAAATCTTACCCAACTAGACAGAGTTAGTGGTTCTCTTTGCTGAGCTGAGAGTTATAATTTGCACATAGTTTCACCTGACTGACTATAAAGTCTAGTCTTTATATCATAACACACCATCTTTCTTTGTAGACAGAGGAGCTGTAAAATAAAATGTAGGTGCCAAAACTCTTAAAAATGACCTTCCTTATCTGCAGTTTATAATTATATAAGAAATCTGCTAGTGTCATATGTTCAGTACTTTTTTATTGGGCTGAGCTACATTTCCTATTTTCTCTGATTAACTACTCATTGAGCTGTACAGGACAGAAATCTTCATATTTTCAGTTACCCACTGATTTTTTTGTTGGTAGTAGTGGCAATGCTTTCTAATTTCCTAAACTGTATTTATTTGATTGAGCATACAGATTTCTTTTTTAAATTTAAGGAAAACTGTCATGTTAATCATGAGATAAAAAAATACTACAGTAATATGATCAAAATAAATTTTGAGAAAATGTTCCAGTAAGGCCAAAAAAACTTAATTCTGAAGTCTATATGTAAATTATGTAGAGACTTAAGAGAGAAATGATTCAAGTGAATTGTACAAATCACATGGAGGCATACCAGGTGTGCACCTGGGTGTCAGGTGAATACAGTAAGCTAAGCAAAAGCTAAAGGAACAATCTGAAAAACAGCCAGAAATAGTTCTTGCTTATAAAAACAACATCAAAATATGAAGTACTGACTTCAGTGTAAACCCTAAAATCAAAAGCTATACATTTTAATTTAGTCATCAATTTAGAACTCCTAGGTAAAACTCAAAAATGGTAGTTCAAAATGCTGTAATAATTTAAGAGACTGATTTTTTTAAAAAGTAAGCTATCTAGTCAGAAAGACTTAGAAGGGTGGGTGGAGGGAGAAATAGAGGAAGGCGGATGACCAGGTACAAAATACAGTTTAAACAGAAGGAATAAGTTCGAGTATTCTATGGCACAACAGTGACTATCATTTGAAAAATTTATTACATATTTTATAAAGAACTAGAAGACAGGAGTTTATAGGCTAAGAAGTGCTTAAGGAGACGGAAGTGCTAGTTACCCTAATTACACAATGTATATATGTATTGAATTATCACACCCCACTGTTAATTATTACACATTGTACACAGGAATTATCACACCCCACTACCAAACCCATAGATATGTACAATTATTACATGCCAATTAAAAAAAAAAGACCTAGGATTATATCCAAGCTCAGCTACTGGCTGTGTTTTTTTGGTCAAATTATTCAAAAGGGATATTAACAATGAAATAACCTGTCATTTTTAGTAATAAGCAAGATAATACATACAAAGTGCTCACTAATGCCTGACATCTAGTAAACATTTTGCTATTATTAATAATGCTTGTATTATTTTCTAGTTTGACATGTAATATCTTCCCAGCTAAGCCACAAACTACATGACAATTAGAGTAGTATTTTACATTTTTCTTATATTCTTTCCACTGTCTTAAACAGTTAATGACAGACATTTTGTTTAATGGGTTGAAAAATCCTAAGAATGCCACTCAAATCAGATTCTAATAATTTCAAAATAGTTTATCCAAAAATATTTGGGGAATTATATTTTTAAAAATTATATGTGTGTGTGTGTGTGTGTGTGTATATATATATATATATATATATATACACATATATATATAGAAGGCAAACAACTTGATGCTTTGCTATACATACACATTGTGAAATGATCAGCATAAACTAGTCCTCCTATCTATTATCTCTCATAGTTGCCATGTCTTTGAGTGTGTGAAAACACTTAAGATCTACCCCCTTGGCAAATTTCAAGAATGCAAGATACAGTTCAGTCAGGCAAGATGAATTAATGACTACAGTTAATAATGCTGGCTTTATATACTTTTCCAAATATTTCTTTTACATCCAGAAGTGTCACTCTTTTTGGAAAGAAAAGTAACCTACCCAGAATCCTGCCCATCTTCTGATGTGGAAAGAGTTAAACAAATGAAAGAAGAAATATGTTAATGAGTTCTGTAGCTGTTACCAGAGAGAAATTGCTCTATCATTTCTAACATGAATCAAAGACCTTGTAAAGTAATTAAAAGCAACAAATATCCCAAACTCAGGAAAATCAAGACAATTGCGCCTCACATTTTTTCACAGCTGGAATCAATCTGAGTTATCTATCATTAGCTTCTATAATAGAAGTAGCTAATACTGGACAATAACTAGAAAGAAAGAAAATCAGATTAAATAAACTAAATTATTCAAGATTTCAGAATGAAGGTACTAGTTAAATAACAGATTAATATTCAAAGGAGGTATGAGCTTTGCTATAAATCTTCATCATTGTGACAATATATCACTCTCCCCTTCCTAAGATTACTCCTCTAGATTTTTCATTTGTTTTTAAGATCTGAATTTTTTTCAATTTATATATGTATTACTTTAAAATATAATAATAGGGGAAATCATTAATAGGAAAACTATGGTCTACTCTATTCTCTATTGATTTGTTTCTCTGGATTTAAAATTCACTATTTTATATATAATCAATATTTAAAAGTAAAATAAGAAAAATAATAAACTAAGTTCATATGTGCTCCAGGCTCTAATCCTGTTATGTTCTTGCAGGAATCTTACGTCATCACTAACTTTTTCAACTACTCCCCACTACTCCAAACCCATTCTTTCATACCCAAGGAAACTGACACACATTTGGAAGAATGAAGTAATCTCACTTCTTATTACAGAGTAAAATGAACCAGTACAGGTGTCCTTATTAACCACCTTTCCTGCTAAGATTATTCTTGTGCTCTTCCAGGAAAGCAGGATTTATATATTATGTTTAAATGAAGGTAAAGGAGATATAGTTTAACAATCTTTCAAAATTAATGAATTAAAAAATTAGCCACTTTTTTGGAAATAAAGTTCTAATACAACCGAGTCTACAGGAGCAAGCATGCCCTCTACTGGACAGAATTATCCTTTCTTTATTTGAGATTTTTTGTTTTGTTTTGGTGCTGGGGATTGAATCCAGGTCCTGCTGTATGGTAACATGTGCTGTCTATTTCCTTAATATTTGTTAAGATGCACCATCTAAATGTGGGGAATACAGTATCTGTCTACTGAAACAAATAACAAGGATCTTGAAATTTATGAGAAAGGCTAAAAGCATGCTTTTAAGCCTGGCACCAATGGCTCACACCTGTAATCCTAGCTATTCAGGAGGCAGAGATTAGGAACCACACAATTATTTGCCCCAAGCAAATAGTTAAAAAAAAAAAAAAAGATCACAAAAAGGGGCTGGTGGAGTAGCTCAAGCAGTAAAAGCATCTGCCTAGCAAGCGTGAGTCCCTGAGTTCAAATAAATAAATAAATAAATATATAAATCAATGGCTTAACAGAAGCAAACAGGAAATGTAATGAAAAAGTTTCATGTACAACACATAAAAATGTAGTTTTGAAGACAACTACAAAACCTTACTAAGATAGGTTGTAAGAAGACTTGGATAAATGGAAAGACTATTTCCCAGACTGGAAGGTAATATTTCAAGAGTATCAAACATTAACTCAGTTTCAATGAATGTCTACACTAAAATTTTTTTAAAAGAAAAAAAGAATCATCAGGAAGAATAAATGCAAAGGAAGGGCCAAGAGAAGTTGTGAGAAGGTATCAGATTAGCTTTATTTTGGTTTAAACAATGAAGATTTAACAAATCTAGATTAGTTTTCCTCAAGTAATACAATAAATGCTGTTTTGTAATAAATTATATCTGGGTTTTTTTTGAGAGGCCCTCGAGTTTGAACAAAATTATATCTATTTTCCAGTTTAGTTTGTTTGTTTTTGTTTGGGAAATAGGGTTCTCACTATGTAGCACAGGCAGACCTCAAACTCTTGATCCTCCTGCTTCAGCCTCTCAAGGACTGGAACTACAGGCATGAGTCAGCTCCTGTTTAGTTTTAAGTTACTTTTTGCACTTCTGTATCAGTTAGGTTTTTATTCCAGAGCTGCAATGTCCAATGCCACTAGGCACATGAGGCTACCAAGCACCTGAAATGTAGTTAATCCAAATTAAGATATGCTTTTTGTGTAAAATACACATTTTCCAAGGACTTTATAACAAAAAAAAGTAAAGTATCTTCTCACTAATATTATATTGATTAGATGTTGAAATGGCAAATATTTTGGATATATTTAGTTTAACAAAATACATCATTTTAAAAGTTTACATGCTTCTTTAAACTTTTTAATGTGATTACTGCAAAATTTAAAGTATGCATAACTCATTATGTTTCTACTGCTCTAGAGTATAACAAATAAGATCAAGTGGAGAAAATATTATTTACATATACCAATTATGAAGTATACAGAATAAAAATAAAATACTGGTAATCTTCCACTGTCAGTAAAATACCAACTGCACAACTGATCAGAGGGATACTAAAAGCTGTAAGCAGAAGTTGCCGACAGTTTTTGCCCTATCTATATTCAGAATAACCATTAGACATTAATGGCTTCAACTTTCAAAAATAAGTGCAGGCTCCTTAAAAACAAAGCTGGGCATGGTGGCCCATGCTGTGTTCCTCGTACTAAAGAGGATGGCAACTTTGAGGCCAGCCTGAATATATAAAGAGGTCCAGGCCATCCGGGGCTACATACTGAGATCCTGTCTCAAAACAAAACAAAGCATAAACAAAGGAAGCTAAACAGAGAATTACTATCCTAAGACCCAGCAATTCCACTCTTAGGTATGCATCCTGAATAGGTAATTTTATGCCAACGTTCACTGTAGCACTATCCACAATAGCCAAAAGGTAAAAACAATCCATGACTCCATCAACCAACATGATATAGATCAACAATAAAAGGAATGAAGTTCTGATGCATGCTACGTCATGGATTAACTTTGAAAACATTATACTAAGTGAAATGAACTAGACACAAAAGGACAAATATTGCATGATCACACTTACATGAAATATCTAAAATAACCAAATTCAAAGAAACAGAAAGTAGATTCAATTTCAGGGGTTAAGGACAAGAGAATATTATACATTGCTTTCTGTATGAAGCAATGAAAGCAAATAGGTATAGTGATTATTATTGTACTTAACGCCACTAAAATGTACACTTAGAAAGTGGTAAGGGGCTCGGGACGTACCTCAGTGGTAGAGTACTGAGGTAGCATATGTAAGGCCCTGGGTTTGATTACAAATACTGCAACAACAAAAAAAAGTTAAAATGGCAAACTCTGTTACATATGTTTTACTACAACTTAAAAACAGCATACCAAAATACAATGAGCTGAATACTTAAAATGGGGAATGATACGTAAATTATATCTCTATGAACCTGTTTAAAAAAAAAAAAAGTAACCCAAGATAGATAAGCTAGATTTGAGTCAGAGTTCTGCTACCTGCTGGCTGTTTGACTTCGAGCAATCCCCTGTGTCTTACTCAGTTTCTCATTTCCCCCATACAATACTAGGTCATAAGGTTGCTATGAGGATTAAATGGACTAACATTTATAAAATAGGCATTATTTAATTGCTTATTAAAAAGCCTTCAGAGCAAACTGAGAGAGAGAAAACAAAGTAAACCCAAATGTTTGTGACATTTAATAAGAACACTAATAGGATCTGCAGAAAGTTACCATGTAGCTCATCAACCACCAGCCTCATTTCAATTTGCTCAACTTGTTACCTACTCCTGCCACATAAGCGTAACCCACGCTCTTGAAGGGTTTAAGATCACTACCCCAGCTCCACAACTCTCGGGAGGCAGTGATGATACAAAGAAATTTGTAAGAGTTGTTGTAAGTTCAGGTATGTACATGGTTAAATAGGACCTTAGTGGTGATGAAACATACTGAGGATTAATATTGGAGACAGTCTTCGTAATTTTAACAGCTTTAAAAATTACTTTAGCTACCAATTTATGTGCTCATTAATGGTCTAACATTCAGATTTTTAAGAGATGACCTGAGGCTTGGGTCATGACTGAAGTGGTAGAGTGCTTGTCTAACAAGCATAAGGCCCTGAATTCAAACCCCAGTACTACCACCAAAAAAAAAAAAAAAAAGAAAGAAAAGACAAGACTACAGCCAACTCCTTGGGTAATTATTTAACCTTTTTAGGCCTCAGCTGTTGTTTTTTTAATCTATAAGGTATGGATTAAAAAAGTGACTACCTCAAAGAATTGTCAAGATTCAATAAGCTAATATTTGGAATATATTTAGAACAATAAATAGTTTCATTAAGAGCTCAGTAATTATCAATAATTACTCCGAACTGAATTTTATGAAGATATGCCATAATTGTATTAATACAATTAAATGTGAATTTTCAACAGTCCCCATACATGTTTTATATATTCAAGAAGGCTACCAAATTCAATCTATTCCAGATATATGTATTCTTTAAAAAAAATCAAGACTGGGGGCATGGCTCAAGTGGTAGAGTGCGGTTTAACCCAGCAAAAGCAAGGCCCTGAATTCAAACCCCAGTACTGCCAAAAATACATATATGATAATTTATACATTTTTTTCCACTCACTAGGCAGATGCTCAACTGCTTGAGCCACACAGCCAGTCAATATATTTTTTACATTTCTAGAGAAAATGAAGTGAAAGATTTAGCTAGAGACTGGATACTTCACAAGAGATACATGTGACCTTAGGATACTACTTCTTATACTTTTGTAGTGACTTAATTAACTAATCCAGTCAAATTATAGAGCTTTCAGTATTTTTCTTTAATGGTCTCCTTAATATACACTTTGCCAGATAAAAACACACATCATATCTTCCAGACTCAGCTCGTCACATAGTCAAGTCATACATATTTATACTTGACTGTAGGCAATTAAATTTGAAAAATTTGGCTGTTTACGTATCCTTAGGCTGTTTAGGTTGTACTTACAAATCAGTGCAGGTGTGCTTTCTTTGATGACTGAAAGGTATCAGTTACTTACCAAATTTTCTCTTTCAATCCTTTGTTGTTCCCTCTGTCTGTTGAGAGCACTATGATATAACTTAGGGGGATGACCAAGTGATCTTCCGGGAATACTTTTGCTTCCTGGTTTCTCAGCCTGTCTTGATAGTTCTTTCAAAAGCCTCTGATTTTCCCGATCAATCTGTCTCACCTCTTCTCTCGTGAAAGAGTAGTTTTTCCTAGGTACTACTGAAGGCTGCTCAATGTGATGTTTTTGTGGTCCCTTTTTATCTAATTGCAGAAAGGCTACAGAAGTGAACAAAAAAGTGAAAATGGCTAAATAAAGCAGCTTACGATGGCACATGCTTTCACTCTTTAAGAGATATAGATATATACATTAATTCATGAAAAGATGTGTATGAAATAATGCTAATAACTTATTTTGGAGGAAAAAAATCAGAGGTAGCTTAGAGTTTTATGCTGAGTTCCTAGTGATTCTTATGCAAGTATGATTTATGTTTTTTTTCCCCTATTTTGTTTCCCTATGGCAGTTTAATAGTTGCAGACTTTAGAAACCTCTGGGTTGAGTGTATTAATACAATAACATAGGTACAGGGTTTTTGTTTTGTTTTTTTAATGAAAGGGCATAGTTCAGCAACAACCAAGACTCCTAAGCAATCACTGTGGGAATCAACAGCAAAAACAAATTCAGAATATTCTGAAACTATCACCTCCACCTGAAAAAGACTTATGGGCTTTAATACTGTCATTAAAAACAAATACTTCTACTGTAAAGGTCAAGCATTCTGTTCTTTATTAAATACAAGCCAAAATAAACACATTATTTAAAAGGTATTTTTATAAATTTTTTTTTGGCAGTACAGAGGTTTGAACTCAGGGCCTCATGATTTTTAGGCAGTATAAAAGGTGTTTTAAACAAGGAAAATATTTTGATCACTATCATTATCAAATTAAATTCTGTGTATGTTAAGAGGGATTGAACCCAGGCTTGGGTATGCTAGCCAAGTGCTCTATCTACCAGCTGAGCCAGAGCCTCAAAGGAATTTTTAACAGGCTGAAGTTCTAAAATTTCCCTATTTTCAGTAAAGCACAATTATTACTAAACACTTGTGAAAAACTTCTAAAAAAGCAGAAATATACTGTAAGAGATTAACAGGCATATTTGTTTTATTTTTTATTTTATTGTATCTTTAAAAAACAACTTATTTTTACTTGACTATATGCTTTTTTTTTTAACATGTTTAGCAACTTACTTTGCTACAGTTCAGTACTGTAAAAGGAAGAGGTATTTTTAACTGCCACTTAAAAATGGGTATGGTATAAAAAATTAGATCACTTGGGCAAGGCCAACAAGACAGTAATTCTACCTTCATATGTTTAAGCCTAAGACTGTCGAAGGTCAGAGAAAGTTAAAATAAAATAAAAGATTCACAGTAGCTTGTTCTTAGGAAAAATAAGGAAACTGATAGCTGATAATTTGTTGAAAACCACACTAAAAGAATGACAGAAACTGAATAAGAGCACACTCAGGAAGATACAAATGGAATGCACATGGCTTATCTTGCTTCCAAGACATACCTATTTTCTAGAATCTTAGTAAGGTTTTTAATTTAGCTATGTGTGAACCGCCTTAAAAACTAAAGTAAATTAAGCTATTTTTCCTGACAAGAAAAAAATTTTTTAAAAAGGCAATAGCAAAAGATTTACATAAGATACTTAACCTAATTCAGTCAAAAAAACCAGTAACAACAGTACTCCAACTGTCTCTGATAGAATATACATGAAGTGCTTATATACTGGTAGCAGGTAGTGTTACATTTTTCTAAAGTGGCCATCTGCTTTACTATATGCTTTGGTATAATGCTATCTACACACTGAAATTGGCAATATCAAATATACCAGTTTTTTCAACTGAGATCTTAAAAACATTTTAACTTAAACTTTCAGGTATACAGATATATTATATATATATATACATATATAAATATACACACATATATATTTAAATTTACATATTTAGAAATATTGCTTTTCACTAATTTTTTGTTCAAACTCTTCATGTTCAATCCAGCATCTCCAGAGCCACTTCTGGTGTCTCTAACCCCATTTACTAGAGGACCATCTTTACTTTTCATATAAGCTTTTTGAGATACAAACAATTATGCATTTATAAGTGATGCTATCACTGGATAGCATCCCAAGCAATTTTCTATCTCTACTCTCATAAATTAGTTCTTTAAAAAAATTTATCCTGTAGGCATTTTCATGATATATGAAACTGGAGAACACCATCTTAAATGAAGTTAGCCACGTTCAGAAAGAAAAGGGCGCATGTCTCTTTCATATGTGGAATACAGGCCTCATACAAATACAGCAATATCACGAAAACCAGGTCACATACAAGAGGGAGAGGGTAAAAGAAGGAAACTAAGATGAATATGGTTTATATACTCTATATACAAGAATGGATATAGAATTTTTAAACTTGTTGAAGTCACCATAAGAAAGGGACTAAGTTAGAAAGGAGAAAATAAAGCCAATGAGCCAATTAGGGTTTTATATATATATATGTATGTGTGTATATATATATACATATATATGTATATATCACAATGAAATGCCCTTTATAGCTATCTTATATAAAAATGTCTCTTTTTTTCCCCAAAAATGGAGAACAGGAAGGTAAAACAGATCTGATACCAATGTGTGTGTGTGATGGGAGGAAGATATACCAAAAGGGTGTAGGAGGGTGAATGTGGTGGAATATTATGTTACTCACATATGAGACTTGTTGAAACCATTCCAGGAATGGGGGGAAGAAGGATAAAGGAGAGTGATGAAGGGGACAAACTCAACTATATGATATATTGTAAGAGCTTTTGTAAATGTCACAATGTACTCCCATTACAAAATAACATGATAAAAAATATAAAACAAAAATACCCCAAAACAATCAGAAAAATTCATCCTGTAGGCATATTCATGATATATATTGTATATATTCACACACACAAATATACATATATATAACTATATATAACATGATATTTGCTTTTTTAATTGATTTTTTTTCAAGATTTAAAAAGGGCCAGGCAAGGGCTTGCAGAATGGCTCAGGTGGTAGAGTGCCTACCAAGCAAGCATAAGGCCCTGAGTACAAACTCCAGTACTGCTCCCCCCGCTCCCAAAAATAAAAAACAAAGAGCCAGGCATAGTGGCTCATGTCTGTTATGCCAGCTATACAGAAGACATGGGTAGAAGGACTGTGGTCTGAGGCTGGCCCAGGAAAAAGTGCCTGAAAAATAACCTAATGCAAAAACAGGCTGGAGGTGTGGTGCAAGTGGCAGATGGCTTGCCTACCATGCACAAGGCCTAGAGTTCAAATCCCAGTACTGCCACTAAATAAAGATTAAAAAAATCCAATACTTGCAACAAAAGTCAAAATTGAAGGAGTAACTAAAGTTATCAAATTTTTCACCTTTATTAACAACTTGCTAGATAAGAAATTCTGTGGCATTCTTCCTACTACCTTCCTTTGAATCTGGACTGGTTTGTAACTGCTTTGACCAATAAGGTACAGACAAAATGATGATATGTAACTTTCACGGCTAGGTAATAAAAGGAGATGTAGCTCCCTACCCTTTTTGTCTGCTGGAATACTTGTGCTTGGAGCCCTGTGCCATCATACATGTCTGATTATCTTGAGGTTGCCATGCTGTGAGGAACTCAAATCACATAAAAAGGTCATGTGTAGGCATTTTGATCTTAGTCTTTGAGTTATCCAAGGTTGTTGATTTACATGGCTAAGCTTCATGATAATTTATTACTGGAGCAATAGTAATACAAAATTTGATGCCAGAAAGTAGAATGCTACTACAACACAACTTAAAACATGACAATAGCTTTGGGACATGGTGGCAAGTTAAGCTGGAAGAGCCTAGGGACGTCTGAGAGGATGAGCTATCAGAATATTTAGCAATGCAACTGTTGACAAGGAAAACTGAAAAAATTCCCACGACACTGGTGGATTTGGCTAAGATTTCCAACCAGAAAGTTTTAGAGTACCTATGGTATTTTATCCACAATAAGAAGACAGAATAGAGATGCAAGCAAAATAGAGGAAATTTAAGAGTGTTCAGAATAAAACTACTACTCACTCGTCATCTTTCCCAACAGAAGATTCTCAAAGTTGAGCTGTACATAAGGAACCACACTTGACAAACTTCAGCTGTACTTGAAACTGATTTAGGTCCTGGATCTTGAGGTTGGGGAACTTCTTTGGAAAGGGGGAATTATTTTTACATAGGGGAGGAACATAAAAAATGTGTGGCTAGAAATAGGATTGAAGAAATTTTAAGCTATGTCTATAAATTACTTGACATTCCTTCCACTATGAGGTAGGGTCTATGTCCCTCCACTCTAAATCTAGGAGAGTTTATGACCATTTCCACCAACAGAGTAGAGAAGAAATGATGCTATGTGACTTCGAACACTAGGTCATAAAAGCAATGAGATTTCTGTATTGTTTCCTAGAAAACCTCTGCTTGGAACCCTGAGGCTGCCATATGAGAAAGTAGACCATATGGAGAGGCCAGGCCACATGGAGAAACTGTGTTTGGGCCTTCTGGTTAGCAGTCCTAATATTCTGGCTGTCCCAAGGCCTGGCACCTGACACGTGAGTAAATAAACACCAAAGGGAGTCTAATCCCCAGCCATTGGGTCTTTCCTACCTTTGAGTCACACTATTCCCTAAAGTAATGAGGTAATTTGTTATGCAGTAATAGTAACTGATCATTTAAAAAAAACAAAACAAAGCCATCATGGGCCAGACAAAATACCTGAGTCAAGTGTAGCTTACAAGCAGACAGTTAATGCTTTAAAAATTTTTTTGATCTAAGTTGTTATTAATCTTCCTTCATGGTTACACCTTCCTCAATTTTATCATCTAGTTATTTTTTTATATCGTACATTTTAAATCTTTGACTTAACCTCTTTTGGGTAATTATTTGGTTCATTTATTAGCCTAAAATGTTTTTCTTTGTTCCTTTTAGTACTTTTCGTATCTTGATTTCTATTTTGTATATTAATATGATTCTTCCATTTCTTCCTTTTAAAGGCAATGTAACTGGCATATCTTTTCTAAGCCTTTACTTTCATTCTTGTACTATTTTAAATCTTTCTAGGATGGATTTTTTTCCCCCAATGAAACTGATACTTAATGAGCACCTACAATTAGCATACAGAAACCCTATCAAAGGGCCTAGTGTTTTTATTTTCCAATTTTTTATTAAAGTAAAATACACAACACAAAATTTACCATCTTAACTTTTTCAGTGTTCAATACATTCACAATATTGTGCAAGCACAACCCATTGTTTGTAAGTTCTCATCCTGTAAAACAAACTCTAAATGCTCATTAAATAATCTCCATCCTCTTTTTCCCAGCTGCTGGTCATCATCATTTTACTTTGTCATCATGTCACCTTATATAAGTGAAATCACACAGTATTTGTCTTAGGACAAGTATTTCACTTATTTCATTTAGCATAACATCCTCAAGCTTCATCCACACTTTAGCATACTGTCAGAATTCCCTTTCTTTTTAAGACTGAACAGTGTTGCAGGTTAGTTTAATATGATAGTGCCGTCTAGTAAATTAAAATCACTCATTTATATTGTTTGACCTCTTTTTTTTTTCAATGCTTTTTTGTTACTTCTTCCTTTTTCTTTCATCTTATCTTCTTTTGGAAGATTGACTAAACATTTTTTTCCCTAAAATTTTCTCCAGATTTTGGAATATTATGAATATTATCATCATACATTCTAGTTCCATTCTCTTAGAAGTTCTTAAAACATTTTGATCTCAGGATATTTTTTTTCTTTTTTTGGTGGTACTGGAGTTTGAACTCAAGGCCTCATGCTTGCTAGGCAGGCTCTTTACCACTTGAACCACTCGGCTAGCCCTTTTTTGTGTGGGTATTTTTGAGACAGGGTCTCTCAAACTATTTACCCACTGGCTGCCAACTGCAATCCTCCTGATCTCTGCCTCCTGGGTATCGAGAACTATAGGTGTGAGCCACCAGCACCTGGCTCAGGACTTCTTAATACTCCTAAAAGTTGAGATCTCCAAAGAATGCTTATATGGGATACATCTATTAATACTCATAAGAACTAAAAATGAAAAACTTTAAAGATATTTCTCTGACAACTAAAATTATTATATATTACACTTTTATAAAAAAATAAAAACAGAGTTGCAGAGTTGACAGTTTTGCAAATTTTTTAAATGCCTGGCTTCAGAGAAGATGACTGAATTCTCAAAGCTGTTTCTGCACTGTTATGCTGTCATTGTCACATAGCCCCTGGAAGATTTAACTGCACACTTAGGAGAATGTAAAAAGCAAATGGAGCTTAGTCTTACTGGTGAAAAGTTTTGTCCTTGCATATCCTCTCTAAAATCATTGAGCTTGCTCTATTAATAATTTATATTATATATATTATATAATGTATATATTATATAATAAAATTAATAAAATATGATATCCTTGATTATGAGAAGGGACCCTCTCTATTGCTTCTTAGTTTTTCTCCAATGTTTACCAATACTTGGTAGTGTGTCAAGGGTACTCAGATTTCCTTCAGTTTGCCAGGGAAATGCTACAGGTAGTGCACCTAGTAGGCGATCTCAGCATAGGCATCTCCATCCTCATGGAGAGTAACATCATCTGCATCTTCCCTTTGCACGAGGCACTTCACTTCATTCCCTCCCATGCAGGTATCATCTTAGTAAAAAAAAAAAAATTCTTTGCTCATTACTGCTTCCTTAGTCCCATTTTTTCTCTTATATTCATTCATTTTCTCAAAATACATCCTATAATGATTATTTCATACATAGCCCATGTGGTAAATTTTGAGGCCATACATTTCTATATGTCTTCTATTTGCTCTTTCAGATTCTTCCAAATTGACCTAATTTTACAAAACTTTATCAACACACCTTCAGTGCTCTGAAAATATATCAGACTCATGACATAACCTGATGTCAAAAATTCTGTGATAATTAGTGTTTAAAATATTTTACTATAATGAATTCTCGGCAGATTTTTATATTAGGGATTCTAGCACCAGATGCACCACTGGCAAGCCTCTTAGAACAGAACACTCTGTTGTGCAGAATGAATGAAGCATGTTTCCTCATTTCAGGTCGGCTCTATATTGAAAATTTTCCTATTTTGGCTTAAATGGGAAAACTGTTCAGGAATTGGAGGGGGCATTATTTTTCCATTTAAAACTAAAAAAAATTATATTCTCTATATCCATCTAAAGTTGAGAAATGGGTTAGATAAGAACAGTAAGGGATGCCTGTATGTATTTTCAATGGAACAAGTTTAGTGTTTTAATATCTAGACTATGGTCCTTGGATTGGCAGAAACAGTATTAGCACTGGGTGCTGGTTAGACGTATAGCTGAATGGGTTCTACTCTAGTTTTACTGAACCAGAATCTGAATTTTAACAAGATTCTAGGGTGACCTGTATGCGTATTAAAGTTTGAGGAGCTCTGGTGGACAAAGTTGATTACCTAATTAGCACATATCCCTACTTTCCTCCTTCTTAACAGATCTCCAACCAACTCCCACCCCTAACTCCAGTACAAGTCTGATTTTTCAAAGACTGGTTCAAAAATGGGAGTTGAATCCAATTCTAGGCATGATACTAAGTAGAAGATGGCTTCCTTTAAAAGGTTCCTTCAGCCAGGCCCTGGCAGCTCATGCCTGTAATCCTAGCTACTTAGGAGGCTGAGAGGAGGAGGATCGAGGTTTGAGGCCAGCCCAGGCAGATAAGTGTGAGACCTCCAAAATAACCAGAGAAAAATGGACTAGAGGAGTGACTCAAGAGGTAGAGCGCATGCTTTGCAAGCATGAAGTCCTGATTTCAAACCCCAGTCACACCAAAAAAAAAGTTCCTCCATTCCAACTGTCAAGTTAATGCAGTTTCTCTGGACATTCTCATGTCTTAAGGCGAATAGCGAAAAACTCTCTGAAAAACTCTCTGAAGATACCTTCTAGGTAACCTAAGAATGAAGACGGAATAGCACTAGAGCAGGAGGAAGAGAATGGTAAGCACACTGAGTTTAAGAAGCACTAAAATAAAACTTGTCTGAAGTTCCTAGTTGATTAGTGTTGCAAAATATATCTTATCTGATAATGCAAATAACATCCAGATGTTATTATGGTATAATAGAATATTTGGTAAAATTACTAAAATATCAATTACCTACTAGAAAAAAACAGTGCAAATTCATAGCATTTCATATTTAAGCTTAATATATAATATTTAAATTTAATATACATATTTTAAAAAGAAAATTACCTTTCAAAAGATTATTCAGATCCATTGTGTCATGTAAGGCTTTCTGCTTGTGTCTTTGGTCTAAATTGAAATCTAATGCTGGTGACTTTGGAGCAAGATTGGGCCCATGTTTTTCTTTCCCTTTCTTGGCTGCTTTTAAATATTTTACATCCTTTTTAAATACCTCATCTTCATATGCTTCTTGACTCACATTTTCCTGCCTTTTAACTTTTACTTTTTGGTCATTTGATGTGCCCAGCTCAAAAGACTGTACAGGGCTGATGTCTGGAGTTGACAAAGGAGTTACATCTGTCACAGTATCTTCAGATTCCTCAATAGAGTCTCCCATTTTTGGCTTAGGACTTGAAGCCTGTATTCCTGTCGATTTTATTTTTGATTTATATTTCTGTTTTGGTGACAAGAGGGTCACACCAGATACATGTTTCCTTGATGACGAATATGTGTCAGATTTGTGGATATCAGATCCTGTATCTGAGCAATCTGTATCTGAACTTGAAGATGAGGAAGACAATGAAGAAGAAGAACTGCTTTTGGAGTACTTTTTACATGTGCTTTTTTTAAAGTTATTAGATGGCTTAGCTGACTTGGACCTCACATGTTTTTTCCCATCATCACTGCTTTCCTCTCCATCTGTATAGTAATCATCATCCTCACCTTCTTTTACAATTTTAGGAATTCTATTTGGAATAGGCAAGTGTATTTTACGTCCTGTTGGAGCATCACATAATTTTTTTGATCTAGAAGAAGTGGTCGATGATAAAGAAATTTTGGATTGTATATCATTTTCCGTAGGGGTTTCATTTGGAGGAATTTTTGCTTTTCTTTCATTTCCTTTCTCAGTAAGATAATTTTCCTTTGTTTGTATTTCAAATGTTAAGTTTACATGTTCTGTATCTTTACCTATTCTCTCTTTAAGGTCATCATTTTGCTTATCAAAAACTAAGCTATTTTCACATTTCTTTGCTTCTTCAAAGTCACTGTCAAAGAAAGAATGGTCCACTTCACCATCTGATATATCTTCAAACCGATCCATGATGGCAAAAATATATCTGAAAAGGAATAAAGTGTAACCATCAGACTAAAGGGTAATTTCCAAATGCTTTTCATTTTTGTATAGCAATTGCATAATTTTCCCAAATGAGAAATTTGGTTACTATTTAAAGACAATTATTATAAAATAAAACAAAACTCAGTGAAGTGATGATGGGGCTCTAAGGGTAATATCAAGTTGTACACCAATTATTTGATAAAAAAGTCTAGTAGTCAAGTTCACAAGAAAGTAACAAGTCATTAAGGCAGGCATATCACAAACTTGGGGACTCATAGGAACCTTAAGGAAAATTTGCCTTCTATAGAGTTTAGAAGAAGAAAGGATGGTGTGTTAGTCACTTTTTCACTGTGGTGGCAAATTACCTAAGCAAGACAACTTAAGGGAAGAAAGATTTACTTTAGCTCACACTTTCAGATTTCAGAGGTTTCAGTCCATCATGGCAGGGAGGGTATGGTACAGCAGCACTGTTTAATTAATGGCAGCCAAGAACCAGGCAAAGACAAGAAGGGATTAACACAAGATTTGTCCTTCAAAGACATGCTCCTGATCTACTTTGTCCAAGTAGGCCCCACCTCCCATAGTTTCCACTATCTTCCAACAGTCTATTCAAATTTTGACTCCATGATTTAAATCATTGATTAAATCAGAATCCTCATGATCTAATTATCTTTGGAAACTGCTCACAGACACGATCAGGTGTTTTTACTAATCTCTAAGCATCTCTCAATCCAATCATGATGACAATCAAGATTAATCATCACAGATGGTATTAAAAAACTCATAGGATCAGCTAAGCCAGTCCAAAGACATTATTCTAGTGGCAGGCAGAACAATGAAGATGACAAACTTTCATATTTTTCACTATTTGCTGTCTTTGTCCTATTTTGTTCCTTACGGTAGTTATTGAGGATGATGCAGAAAAAGATAACTCCTATTAAAAGTAAAAGCTGCTCCATCTCTTCTTATTGAGGAATAGAAACTCCAAGGCTCACATACAGACCAGACAGATAGGTTGGTGTCAAACTTCTGAATATTTTAACCACGGTAGTTACATAATCACATAGGAAAGATTACAGGGGAAAAGTATGTATCTCTTACTGCATTAAAAGGGGTCTGTGTAAGAGACATTTCATAGCAGTCAATGGCGACCTAAAATAGAAAAATCAAGGCATAACAGAACAAATGGATTAAAATGTTCAAAATAGCTGCCTCTAGTGTGGGGCAGGGACCACTATTTTTGCTGAAGACTTTAACTTACTTATTGACATTACATATATAAATTTATATATTTAAAACTTAAAAATATCTTAATACTCCACACAATTAGAATTAAATTGGAAACATTACTTGAACGATATTACGAAGTATTTTTTGTCTCTGTTATTAGACTTGCCTAATAAGCAATGTTACATTATCTGTTACTGACAATCTTCAGTTCAGAGACTGATCTCTAATATTCTCCACAAAAAAAGCTCAGGACTTCCTGGAAGGCAGCTGATTTCAAGTAAAAGAAAAACAAGCATCTTACTGAAGTACCTTGCTGTTGCCAATATGAAACAAAGAGATTCAGTTTGTATTAGTTAGCTTTTTGCCACTGTGACAAAATACCTGACAGATGCAATTTAAAGGGAGGAGTTACTTATTTTGGCTCATGGTTTCAGTCCATCATGGTGGGAAGGGTGTAGCAGAGCAGCTCACATCATGATGGTGGGAGTGATGTGGCACAGACTATTCACCTGCTGGTGGACAGGAAGCAAAGGAAGAGAATGCCTAAGATGGTGGGCTTTCTCCTTTTTCCCCTTTTATTCTGTCCTGGGCCCTAAGGTTATAGGATAGTACTGCCCACAATGAGAGTGGGTTGCAGCCTCTTAGTTAATGCCCTGAGACACTCCCAAAGGTAGGCTTTACTAATCTTCTAGGAGCTCATCAACCCAATTAAGTTGACAATCAAGGTTAACCATCACACAGGCTAAAGTGGATGCTATAAAGTAAGCTACATGATTTAGCAGTTAAAAAGAAAAAAGATAAAATATACATAAAAGTGAAAAAATAATTCTGTGGAAAGTCGTAACTCCATGACATTCAAAATGGAAAAATAATATGCACGATGTTGAAGAAAAGGCATATAAACATTTCCAACAAAAAGCAGCCAACAATGTAATTATGTACTCACTATATTCAAATTATGATTCATTCCAGTACAGCAAATTGGGCAGTAAAACAGTCTGTAATGTGTAACCTATACCACAAGGTACTTGAAGCCTTTAATTGTTTAAGTGACACTATAACCTAAGGGAAGATATAAAAACAAGTACAGATATGATTTAGAAATAAATTCAATTTCTACTATTAACAATGTGATAGGTTAAGCTCATAGGTTAAGTATTGTGGTAGTACATTTAATCACCATCAAATAATTTTGATGCCTTTAAGGCTTTAAATTATTAGATTTTCATGTTTTAAATGTATAATTATTATTTATTTACTTTGTTGAGTATTAAGCCCAAGGCCTTAGCACTCTAGGCAAGCACTCCGCCATTGAGCCATATCCCCAGTTCTTAGACTTATAAAATTTTTTTTTATTTTGGGGTGGGCTGGAGTTTGAACTTAGGATTTTACACTTGCAAAGAAGACACTCCTGTCCATCTTGTGCTCTGGTTATTCTAGAGACAGGGTCTTGGTGAACTATTTGCCCAGGCTGATCTCGAACTGCAATTCAGTAAGTTAGACTTTTAGGTTTATGAGCAATATCTAAATACTTAGGAAGATTCCTTTGTTACATTTATAAGTGTACCTTGTTAGGTATTTGAGGCACAAAAGAAAATGAAATATAATTAAAAAATTGTGATGGCAGGCAGGTTTGCGAATGTTTAGGGAAATTTAATATATTTTATAAGCTAAGTGACATTACTCAAAAGTACAAGTGAATTGTTAATTTTAACATGATTCAAACAGAATTACAATGTGTAAGTACATCTTAACATTTAAGAAACATGAGATTATAAAATTTATACCTAATAAGTGTTAAAATGTAAGACTGTTTTCCATAGCATTGATTAATGCCCTTTTTACATTTTAAGATTCAAATACAAAGAGACCTGAGGATGTAGCTGAGTGATAGTTATCTAGCTAGCCTGGCTTTGATCCCCAGCACTGCCTAAAGGAAAAACAACAAAAAAGCCACAACAAACCCAGAAGGAAGTCTATCCAAATCCTCAAAAGATCACCTAATATAGTTTTAGACATAAAATACATACATCATATGTATCAGTGCAGAAATCACAGTCTATTCTCTTAGTAATTTATAAAAACTGAAACTTGTCTCTTTTAAAAGGCATTTGGCAATTAATTTTCAGAGCCTAAAAAAGCCATAAACCTTTTGAATGAATCACTAAGTTCATTTCTAGAAATTTATCCTTGGGAAATAATATTAAAAAGAAGAATGATATTAATTATAGCATTACTTATCATACTGGAAAACTTGTCTATTATTCCATTATAATATTTAGATCAGGTGTCAGCAAACTATTGTCCAGGACCAAATGTGGCTACCATCTGTTTTTTGTAAATGAAACGTTATTGGGACACAGTCCCATTCATGGGTTTAGGTATTACTCTGACAGTTTTCACAATACAACTGCAGAGCTGAGTAGTTGGAGAAGAGACCCCATGGCCCACAAAGACTGAAATATTTATCATCTAATCCTTTACTGAAAAGGTTTGTAAACCTGAAAAATACAGAAAATAAAGTTATCTATATTGGATTAATTACATAATTTATATTCTTAAACAAAAAACTTAGGGGGAAAACAGAAATTAAGAGTTGACCTGCTAGAAGAAAAATCACCAATACAACTGGTTTTTTTGTATTTCCATTACTGTTAGTGTTTGTGCAATAAAAAATGGAAGCCAGCTCACTGTATGAAAGAGTTAACTAAGACAGACCTACCCAAGTCCAAAATCTGGTTCTGCCTTAATGTATACTAATAAAAAAATTCTGGTTCTGCCATTCCTGGTTGTGTGATCCTAGATATATATATAAGGATGTTCATCACTGCACCATTTGGAATAGCAATGGGCTAGAAACAACCTCGATGTTTACTAAGAGGAAATGGATAAATGTAAAAGTATATGAAATATATCAGTCACAAAGGATAAACTGAGATCTAAAAAAATGTTGACTAAAAAAGTATAATTAAATGAAAAACAATTATGTAAAACTTAAAAAACATACAAAAAACAACGTATAGTCTTCATGGGCACAGACACATAAAGTTATAGAATATGGATCGGAAGGGCATACATTAAAACTCCAGGAGTATAAACTTACAAAGGGGGAGGAATGAGGTTAGGAAAAAATATAGACTCGGGCAGGAGCCTGTGATCATGAGCTATTACAGAGATTGTTATTACTACTCTATCCACCTGAGTTTAAAAACAAAAGCATATCAAAATAGTCGCTGATCAAATGGTAGACAACTTTTATGTCATTCAACTCCCCCAAAAGTTACCCTTTTTTATAAGAAAATTTACCCTTAAAAACAAAATGTAAAGGGTTGGAATAAGAGTTATGGTTGTTTTTCCTTTCTTACTTTGCTTCATAATTAAGAATATCATTACAATTAAAGATATTTTTATAAGTTTCTTCAGATTTCAAAAGAAAACATTTCAAGGCATAATCCAGATATTTTATAAACGACAGGTCACAACACACATGTAAAATCAATTCAGTAGATTCACTAAACATTAAAGTAAAGTACAATCCAATGAAATCTCAAGAGTGTATTGCAGTTGGCCACCAGGGGCTCATGCCTCTAATCCTAGCTACTAAGGAGGCAGCGAACAGGAGGATTGTGGTTTGAGGCAAATCTGGACAAATACAGATTTTGAGACCCTATCTTGAAAATACCCAACCAAAAAAGGGCTGGCGGAGTGGTTTAAGTGGTAAAGCATGTTCCTAGTGTGAGGCCCTGAGTTCAAATCCCAGCACCACCACCAACAAAGATTTCACAAAGTCATAATAGTTTTGTTTCTATAACGGTCTGTCCAGAACTAGTACAATATTACGTTATTAACAGGCATGTGGACTACCTCACTGTATGTATCTGTTTGATTTTGCTGGGAAATATACTGATAGAAAAGCTTAAAACTTCTTTTTTTTTAAATTTAAAATTGTTTTTGGTTGGGACTAGGGTTTGAACTCAGGGATTCACACTTACAAAGCAGTTGCTCTACCACTTGAGCCATGCCTCTAGTCCTTAAATTTTCATAAGTCTTTAAAAATCTTTTAAATAATAATTATCCAGATCATTTCGAACTCCATCACTCAGAAAAACCTGTTTAAATAAATTATAAGGAAATAAAATTACTAGTATAGTCACTCCCTTCTACCTTCCATCCATGCACCCAAGAAGCTATGTGAGGACAAAAAGTTTAAGAGGGCCTCATCAAGAATCCAACCATGCTGGCACCCTGGCCTCAGACTTCAAATCTCTAGAGCTGTGAGGGGGGAAAAAAGGTTTGCTGTTTAAGCCACTTGGCCCATGGTATTTTGATACAAGGTCCCAAATTGACTGAGCCAGCCCATGAAGGGTCACATCTGTGATTACCTCAGTCAGGCTGGGCTGGATGAGTTCTGCCCTAGAGCATCCCTATCATAAACTGGCCTGGGGGCAGAAGCCAGCCTTATTCCTGTCCTGCAAAGTAAGTTTCTTCCAGAGGGCTTCTTTGCTTACTACTTTTACAATTTGATTCCAGCCACCAGAAAAGTGAAAGTCTCTGAACTATAATAGTTGCCCTAATTAGCCAGTTTCCGTAGAAATGTAAATGGCCGTGCAAGCATCAGGGTCTTCCCAGCTCTGTCCCAGAAGCATCTGAGCTCCACCTGAATGCAAGGTCTGAACCTCTGTTTTAGTATATGGTCTTTCATATCAACACACACACACACACACACACACACAGCGCCCCGAAATAGGTACTATTATCCACGTTGGGTGTGTAAGAAACAACTTTAGAGAAACAAAGCCAACTTGCGCACAATTGCACAGCTAAAGAATAGTAAAATTTCTGTTAAGTGCCTCTGTACTAGGCACTGTTTCAAACACTTTATATGTATTCATTTCATTATCCTGAAAACAACCCTATGTTGTACTTTTATTACTCACATTTCATAAGGAAGAAAACTGAAAGCCAGGTATGGTGGTGCATGCCTGTAATTCCAGAACTCAGGAAGTTGAGGGGGGAGGATGTTGAGTTCAAGGCCAGCCTGAGCTACACAGTAAGAATCTTGTTTCAAGAAACAAAAAGCTAGCATAAATAAGCTTCATTTGTACTAGTGCTAATGTTATTCTACTGTTAACAGCTAAACATATTGACTATATGCAAGCAATAATCCAAGTACAAATTTAAGAGGTTTTGTCATTCCCATTTACAAACAAAACAGAGCAAGAACTTGTCCAAAGTCACATAGCTAGAAGCGGCACACCTGGGATTCTAAAGCAAGAATACTTTAAGGACCATGTTATTAACTACTGTTCTGTTCTGCTTCTCTGTATTGTCCTTCGATAACACTAGGAACTAAGATTTTTTTTGTTTTGCTTTTATTGTATTGTAGCTATGATATTTGATGGCAAAGAATGAGTAAAGTAACAAGACTCTCCCATCATGGGTTTTTTTTTTTTTTTTTACAAAGAAAATGGGACCTGTTTAGCCATATGATTTTAGCAACTTTGTTGTATAAAAAAAAAAAAAGTCTGGTTTGTACAGTTAAAACCAGATACACATGCCAATGTTTGCCACACATCTTGCTGAATGTATTTGCCATGTAGTTTTCCTCTACCAAAGTAAAATGGAACAAACTTATTGATACCACAAATTAACAATTTGAATTGACTAGCTACTCACCCACTCCCATCTGAGCTTGTGACTAAACTCCTTTCAAGAGAGTGCATTGCAAACAGTGATGATTTTGCAAGAAACTAACCTTGAAATGTTTTCAGTATGCCTATCTTTTGGGTGTATGGCAGTATGACACAATAGAAGAATTTGTTAGTAATCCCTGATAAGCTTAAGTGAGACCCATGTAAAACTGTTTTATGACACATAGTAAACCATAGCAGCAAACACTTTTCCTAATCTCTAGCCTTAGTTTCTGAAAAGATTTTACCACCCCTCCCATGATGGATCCCATGAAGACTAATTTTAGAATTAATCTGACTGGATTAAGGAATGCCTTGAGGACTGGTAAAGTGCCAGACTAACACACTGCCCTTATATTAAGAATGAAGAAACTAATTCCCTCCTGTGGCCATGCATTTCTTTAGTATGTGAATACCTTAATAAAGCTACAGCTGGGCACTGGTGGCTCACACCTATAATCCTAGCTACTCAGGAGGCAGAGATCAGGAGGATCATGATTCCAAGCCAGTCCAGGCAAATAGTTCCATGAGACCTTATCTTGAAAAACCCTTCACAAAAACAGGGCTGGTGGAGTGGCTCAAGGTGAAGGCCCTGAGCTCAAGCCCTAGTACCTCAAAAAAAAAAATAAAGAAAGAAAGGAAACTGAGCTGGCACACCTCTGTCATCCAGGCACTTAAGAAGCTGAGGCAGGATGATGGTGAGGTCCAGGCCAGTTAGGGCTACATAGTGAGATGGAGGCCAGCCTAGGCCATATAGTAGGACCCTAACATAAAACAAAATGGTTCAGCAGCTACATGGAAAACTATGACTCAGAAACCAAAAAGTATGTTCTTAAATCTACTGGGATAGCAGTATATAGCCTAAGACAAGCTGCATTTTATTTTGCTTGGCCAAGCAATTTTTTGAATGAAGGTTTTAATTCTGAGTCTATGGTAAAGAGTCTAGAATCTAAGTCTATTTGTTTACAGAACACAAGAGGATTGTAACAAATAAAAGCAATGACTAAGGGAATGTTCAGCTGCTTTCATTTCAAGACAGTGAATTGAAAAGGGATTCTAGACTTGTTATTTGTAGTTCTCCAGAGGTAGAACTTAAGTCAACAGATGGAGTACACATGAAAGCTGCTGAGTTTAACATAACAACTCCTCAAAAATGGAATGAGCTCTTTTCTGCTTATGAGCCTCAGCCACTAGAAAAGCAGCAGCACAGACTGGACCACCACTTGCTGGGATGCTGCAAAGGAAATTGACACATTAGAACAGGATCTTCCCAACCCCAAACTAGATCTAAATCCTATCCACAAGCCAAATGACTACAGCTACTTCTCAGAAATCCATGCTTTTCACAGTTAATTTTCCCACCTTGCTTGTGAGGGGGATCAGAATACACTGCTCCGTAACCCTGTAATATGTCACTGTAGCAGGATCACTTTGAGCTAAAATAGTTGTAAATTAACAGATGTAAAAAGGCAGCTACCCAGAACATCCTTATCTGACTAAATGGAGAAACTTCTGAGAAATGAAGATTGTCCTAATTTCCCTCTCCAAGACGTTTTTTGCAGTGGACACTGAGATGGACCTGCACAAATAAACCCTGCTAAGATGGCCCTTATCTTCCATCAGTTCCCACTGTTTACAGCTCAGTCCCTAGAGGCCTAAAACCCCCTTTCCTTTGTCTTGTCTCCACAGTTATTGTTCTTTAAATTGGCACACAAACCCTCAGGACTATCTGCTTTCACTCTTCCAGAAAGGCACCAATGTTATAAGAAAACAACTAAAAATTTGTAGCCTTTTTTTTCTGTTAAGTCAGTCTTGTCCATTTAATTTCCAGGGCTCTAGCAGCAGAACATCAGAATAAAATTTTTTTCTTCTCTCCTACACTTGCCTTCTTACCTGATTGGTTTGAGCTACTGTGTCCTGTAGTTCCAACTATGTGGGAGGCTGAGGAAGAAAGCTTACTTGTGCCCTGGAGCTGGAGGCCAGCCTCTGCAACTCAGCAACAGCCTGTCTCCAAAATAATAAATAATAATAATTCATTCCTTACCAGATTGGGAGCTCCTGATGCCCTGGTCATCTTTACATCCCCAGTGACTAAAGGAGGACCTGACAAATATTAGTCATTTAAAGAATGTTTATCCGAGAGTCTGGAGACTTAAGGTTGAGCCCTGGGTCTGTCCTTTTGCTAGCTATGTAGGTAGAAAAAAAAATCACCATGTTTTATCTGGTTTCCTTGACAGTTCTCCACCCCTTCACTTTCTCCAAATACATGCATCAGAACGTACCCCTTATCTGCATTTCCATCCATGCAGTCCCCAAAAGTTACAAGCCATCTGCTTCCCTAAGTGGCCACAGTTCAAGAGAAGTGGTGTGTTGCCGCTGTGTCTGGGAAACTTCGGTTTAAACTATATTCATAATCACAAGCAGATAGGGTTATTGTAAGGCTTTAAACTCTCAGGCGATTTCACTTAATTTCCAGGAAAATTTATCTGCAATTGTTTTGCTAACATTTACTTCAAAGTTAGTGAGATTCAATTTACATTAGAGAATAAGAAAAAAGTGGTGGCTTCATAAGTTACTTAACATTCTCTTTACAACACCTCAAGGAAGGGTAAAATGAAAAGACAGTTCACCAGGTCACAATAACCCTCTGCAAAAGGCAAGAGTTTTGCCAAAGCTGCCTGGGAGTCCTTTGGACACTCCTGCCCAGCAAATACTAGTGCTTTCATCGTACATCAGGAAAATACGCTTAAAAGAACCTGGAATTCAAAAACTGTCATTTTGTTCACGTGACATTACACTTCCGTAGATAAACAATGGGACGCCAAGAAGACATCCAATTGGGAACACAAAAATCTTAGCCCAAAGAACCTGAAGCCGCAACCTGGAGCCCCGGGAGGTAGAAGACAACAACCCCTTGGACCTCGGGATTCAGGTTCCAGTACGCGGAGGTGGGCGGCCGCGGTCAGAGCAGACCCCGACTCCACGCCACCTCTCGCGGAGTGAGGACGGGACGGCCGTTCTCACCGTGACGGGCAGGGGTGCGGAAGGTCCCACTGTTCAGCCGGTCGGACGCCTCGGCTGTGGTTACACCGGCCGCCCAGGGGGCTGGCGGGACCGAGAGGTGGAGCAGCAAACGGCTGGGGACCACGGCGGGCCCGCCTCCCAAGCTCCCGCGCAGGCTTCGCTGTACCCGCCCCGAGGGCTCGCCGCTGCTGGGCTCTGGACGTGGGAAACGGATCCCAAACGGAGGGAAGGGTGGCTGGCACGCCGCGGGAGCGCAGAAACGCGGAGCTCACGCAACGCTCACCTGGGCACCGTGGCGGCTACCGCCCCACGCACAGCGCCGGGCGCTTGCAGTCCCGCTGGCGCGCTCGCTCGCTCGCACACTCGCACACACGCACGCACGCACGCGCCGGCGCGCTCCCCACGCAGGCGCGCTCCCGAGCCCCGCGACTCCGGCCGGAGCTTCCGGAAGCGGAAGGAGCGGAAGGGGAAAGGCGGGACCGTTGGCAAGCCGCGAGCGCGGCGGAAGGGGGCGGTGTCGCAGGGCGGCGTGGGACCGTCGCTGTCGCGCGGGACTGGCGAGTGGGAGGAGATGGGAAGCGTGGGCTGGAAAGAAGGCGGGTCAGGACTCTGTTGCCCACAGTCCCTTCCCGTCTGCTGACTTGAGCGGTAGGTCTAGCGGTTATCGTGGGTAATTTAATAGGGCAAGCCGTTTTGATGTTGTTACGATTCTTTACCACAACGACAGTAATGAAAATGGAGGGCGTGGCTTTGGGGCATTTTATGTCAGCAAAGTTCACATATACTGGTTCCATACAGCAGGGCTGGAAACACATTAGAAAGTCTTTTTTTTACCACGGGGTAAAGGAGGTGTAGGTTAAGACAATGTAAGGGGAAAATGGTTTCTCCGGAATGTATGGACATGCCTTAATTTCTCACTGTTGAATTTTCAGGCATATCGGAGGTAAAGTAATGGCACCCCAAAATTGCCTACCTCCGAATCTCCAGAACACATGAATGTGTTACTTTCTATGGAAAATGGGATTTGGGTGATGGAATTAAAGGTCAAAACGAGAAGATAAACTTGGATTATCCAGTGAGCCCATTGCAATCACGCGGGCCCTATAATGAGAGGAGAGGCAAAAAGTTCAAGGTAAGTGGGAGGAGCAGGGACACAGGCAAGATTGGAGTGATGAAGGAAAAGGCACTGAGCCAAGGGTATGCAGGCCGCCTCTGCAACCTGAAAGGGAAGAAATGGAGCCTCGCTGGAAGGAATGGAGCCCTGTTATGCCTTCGTTTTGACCTCTAAAGTCCTAATAAATTTGTGTTGTTTTAAACTGTTAAGATTGTAGTAATTTGTTAAGCAACAGCAGGACACTAGCACTGCAGGTACCCAAAAGTATTTACACGAAAATGCAAAGAAAAGAAGTACAGACTTAACTGTATTTTAAGTAATCCTATTAGAAACTATGTTCCTTCTAAACAATGCATTTTGTATTTCTTGGTTTTAGTACAGAGAATCATTTATCTGTTTTTTGGTTGTTGACTAAACGAAAGGATTTCATTTAATTCTACTTGATGAAACTATGTTGGGACCACTTCCCAGGGATTTCTGACTTGTGGTTAGAAATTTATTACATAAAAGGCTTTTGAATAGTCATTCAAAGAAGATAAATAAATAGCCAGTAGCACATGAAAAGACATGCAACATCACAAGGCTCAGCATGGTGATTCACAGCTGTAATCCTAGCTATTCTGGAAACAGAAATTGTAGAAATCTGGAGAATCACAGTTTGGGCAAAAGGCTAGTATGATCCCATCACAACCAATATGCCAATTTCTGTGGCGTGCACCTGTGTTTCCAGCTATGCTGGGGGAGACTGTATGTAGGATCTGAATCTGACGCCTATCTCAGGCAAAAAATATGAGACTCTAGCTGAGAAATAACTAAAGTAAAAAGGCTGGAGCATGGTTCAAGTGGTAGGTTCAAACCCCAGTACTGCCCCTCCCCAAAGATAGGCAACATAACTAATCATTAAGGAATTAGAAATCAAAATCACAGTGAGGTGCTTTTTCATGCCCACTAGGATGGATTTTATTTTTAAAAAAAAAAGCTTTCTGAAAAAACTGAAATAACAAGGACTGTCGAAGACGTAGGAATTGGAACCCTTGTGTACTGCTTGTGGGAATGTGAAATAGAGCAGCCACTGTAGAAAACAGATTGGCATTTCTTTGAAAAATTAAACATTGAATTATGAGCCAGCAATTCCACTTCAGCATATATACAAAAAAATTGAAAATAAGGTATCAAAACAGATATTGGTACACCCAAACATGAAATAGCATTCAGTAGGTCATAACAGGAAAACTAGAAAACAACCGTGTCCATCAACAGTTTTTATATATGTGCTTATATACATACAATGGAATATTAGACGTGAAAAGGAATGAAATTCTGATAAATGTTATGTAACATGGATGAACTTTAAAGATACACTACAGCTGGCTCAAGTGATAGATCACATGCCTAGCAACTGTCAGGCCCCTGTGTTCAAATCCCAAACTGTCAAAAGAAAAAAAGCAGAACACTATACTAAATGAAATAAGCTAGACACAAAGGACAAATACTGTATGATTCTGTTTGTATGAGATTGACTAGAATATTCAAATTCATGGAGATGGCAGAATGCTGATTCCCAGCAGCTGAGAGGAGGAGGGAGTGGGCAGTTGTTTGATGGATGCGGAGTTTAGGTGTGGGTTGGTAAAAGTTCTGGAGATGGATAGTAGTGATACTTGCAGAACAAATATACTTAATGCTACAAAAGTGTATATGATCAAAGTACTTTATGTGTGTGTAAAAGTAGAATAATCTTAAAAATTCTATATTTGTGTAAGAAATATCACAGTGAAACTGCTTTGTACAATTAACAAGTTAATAGAATAGAAAAAAATACATGTAAAAATGGTTAACATGATAAATTTAATGTGTATGTTTTACCACAATAAAAAATAAATTTAAAATAACATCCTATGTGACTGTTTTTTGGGGAACTATGAATTTATAAGTTTTGCTTTTCCCCTGGTCTTAAGTCATTCAGGTTGCTGTAATAAAATTCCACAAACTAGGTAGCTTATGAACAACAGACATTTATCTCTCACAGTTTCAGAGTCTGGGAAGTTCAAGATCAAGGTGCCAGTAGTAAGTGTCTGGAGAGGGCTTGGTTCCCGGTTCAGATAGCTCCTCTGTGCATCCTCACATTGTGCAAGAAGCAAGACTGCTCCCTCCCACCTTTTATGAGGGCATTAATCCCATCCATGCAGACTGTGCCCTTGTGACCTAATCATTTCCCAGCAGCCCACCTCCTAATATTAACACACTGGTGACAAATTTCAGTGTAGAAATTTGAGAGGAGCCAAAATACAGACCATAGCAATCAGTAATCTTGCATTTCATATTTTACCTCTCTGCTCGTGAAAAGTAACGCAAAATAGCATATAGGTCAGTTCAAAAAGTATCAGCCCATTTGCATTGTGAGGATGTTAGATATCAAGTGGTTGTGCCAGTCACATTCCATATCAAAATCTAAGTGAGTTTATAATTTTGTGTTTTATGTTTCATAACTTAAAAATATTAGACTACAATAAGGCTAAATTACTTGGCTAATGTCTTTATTACCAGTTTCCCAAATGGTAAACATAATTATCCATTATCTTCTTTGACCCTGTCAAGCTGTTTTTCCTGTCCCCTATTTAGGAAGCAGATTATAAAGATTACCAGTTCCTGGACCAGAAATGTGAATTTTAACACGTCTGTAGTGATAAGTGACAAGATCTACTGGTTTGAATGAGAGGTCAGATGATCCACCAGAAACTGACTTCTGTCAAACGTTGGTAGGTTGTTAAAGCAATGGAACAAATAAATTGCACCTCCTAATATTTAAAAGCCCATATGTATGCTTCACCCTTCTGCACTCCTGAGTGGGTAAACACAACACAAGCAACAGCTCAAAAGAAGTAGCACTCTGTGTCCCGAAATTTGTCATGTAAAGAAACCCAAGCTAACCTGTTGGTGGATAAAAACACAGGGAGCAGAGAGAGAAGCCATCGCAAGAAGTTCTGTAGACCAAGCATCCTTAGGATATGCGTCAGCTGGCTGCAGGACCAGAAGATCAGAACTACCCAGGTGACTCCAGTCCACTACTGCTGACCCACAAAATCATAAGTAAACAAGGTAACTGATATTTGTAGTGGTTTGTTAGGCAACAGTTGAAAATGGCAGTATTTCCCTGAATTTCTGATCAACACTTAGATAAGTTGCAATTGTCCTTTCTGTGGTCTGCCTTTGTTAATTCTTTATTAGCCAGTTTATTTTGATATTTTGTTATTGTATTTCTCTTCAAATATCAATAAAGACAATTCTTCCTAAGAGTTCCCAATATGAATATTTTTACTTACTAATGTGGGCCTATTCACTGTACTGTTTATACATATATATATTATAAAATTTTATTCAGAGGTTCATTTTCCTCTAAGCATTCCTGCAGTATGTTTCTTTCAAGCTTTAGCAGTCTGCTACTTGCTTTTACGGTATTTTATTATTTCTTTCCCTTTTTGGAGTTTGGCAATAACTTTCTTCTTTTCTCTCTCTCCCTTCCTCCTCAGATATTTATCTCCTTATATCTCTCTATGCATTTTCCATAAGCCACACTTTGCTTCTGAGTTTATAAAAAAGGAGAGATTAACTGACTTAGGGTCTTATTATGGATTATGGTCTTATCGTGAGTTAGTAGAAGAAACTAGAATGCTATGTAGGTCTTCTGACTCACGTCAATGGCTTTATTCACAATTTCCCCCAAAGTAGTCCAGAGCAGACGCTGGTTTCCTCTCCAAATTTGTGACCACTAAGGTGGGCCAAGGGGCTTAAAGGAGAAACACACTATAGTAAAAGGAAGGATATAGCATACTCTTAGACAAAGATGCAGTGTTGTCTATTTGCTTACACTGTCTAGTATCTTTAAATTGTCAGTTTTTCACTTACCACAATTTTATCTTCAAGGAGTTAAGTCAAATGCTGTTCCATCTTAGAGAATAATGAAGGTAGCCTGTGGAGCATTCAACTATTGTCTGTCAGAATGCACTGGCAATAAGGAATATAGTGGGAAAGAAACATTAGGATTCTAACTTAAAATCCAACTTAGGCCCTCATCTCGAGACCTCAGTACCTTTTTTTTCTTTTAAAATTTTATTTATTATTATTGTGCTTAGGGGTACACTGT